GTGCTGCAGCTCCTCTGACATTTCCAAAATCTTGTTCAGCATCAGTGGCCCATCTTTCTGAGATTTCATCAGGCATTGCCGATATATTTTAAAGCACATCTTTGTAACTAGTAAGTGCAGCAGAGATTTTAAAAAAAACTAAATCAGAGATTTTCAGAAATACTGGGACCCACACTATATTTTTGCCCCTTCTTCCCATCTCACGAAAACCACAGCACATATATATATACAGACTTCAACTTGGAAGCATTATAGGACCTGAATTTTTTTATATAAAAGGATGACCCGCTGCAGGCCACAGACCTATTTTAATGAAATATGTGTTTACTAAGAAAATATTTCTAAATAAAGTAAAACAATGTATAAGGTAAGACTACAAAAGAAAAACTAACCATCATTGCAACCTATGCTAATTAAAACTACAATCTGCAGACTACACTAATATACGCACCAAAACATTGAATTAAAACCAAAATGGGGGAAACAGATGTCTCCCAGTTTTCCAGCTAATATTTGTAGGTACAAAAACATCATACTCCCCCTAGAATATATTTTAAATGAACTTCTATATATCATATAATCTTAATGTTCTTCAAGAACAATACATATTCCTTTGATCTACAAGAAAACTCGTACAAGAGGATGTACCAGTGGTACATCACACCACAAAAATTGGCGAAATTTTATAAAAATGTTAAAGAATGCTGCTGGAAATGTGGCAAACTGGAACCTTCTTCCATATGTGGTAAAAACGGGGGGTGGATGGGTTTGAACCCCTAAACCCCCCCCCTACAGGCCTGCCTCCACCGACCCATGAGATAAACAATTCCCTTTGTTTGTATTTTCGACACATATTGATGGAACCTGTATACAGTCTTGCTGACCTGCTGAAATCCTATGAATTTGATGCCCTGCCACTAATCTAGTCTCATGTCTTTCCTCCACAGGTTGTATACCTTCACTCCAACAACATTACCCATATTGGTGTCAATGACTTCTGTCCTGTTGGCTTTGGGGTGAAGCGTGCCTCATACCATGGCATCAGCCTTTTTGCCAACCCAGTACCCTACTGGGAAGTGCAACCAGCTACTTTCCGCTGTGCCACTGATCGCTTGGCTATTCAGTTTGGCAACTACAAAAAATAAATATATGTATATATATAGGAGGATTATGGGGGAGGGAGGGGGAGGGAAGAATGAAAGGGGAAAAGAAATCGAATGGGGAATTTGAAGTGGGGGGGGGGGCAGAAGGAGAGTAAGGAAGTAAAAACAATTCTATAGATGAGAGAGTCATGGGGAAGACCATATGCAGAAAGAATAGTCAGAGCCTGATAAAGACAGCTGCCAGCCAGCTAATGCCCAGGGAAAAGGAAGGGTGGGGGAGTGACACAGAGCCATTGGCACAAAGGTAAATAGGTACAGATCTGACCAGATTTTTTTATCAGCCTGCATTATAATAGTCCTGCATTTGAAATATACTGATTCTGGTAGACAAACAAAGGTTCCGGTTTCGTTTTTCCCATGTGTACAGTAGCAACTCTTGTTTTGTGTGGGGCAGAAGGAAGATCCGCAATGGATTCTGAATCACGGTAGCTCTTTGTATGATGAATCAGCCATGACCAGTAGCCTTATGGAATCTTAGAATCATGTGTTGTGCTTTCTTTTGTGCCTGAATTGTACAACATATCTTTGAGCTCTCATTATTGGAAATAGCAACTAAAGAGTATTTTCATAACACACAATTATAGCACGATGATTCCCCTTTAACTGCTATGGTTGCATCCTATGGAATCCTAGAAGACCTCTCTGGCTCAGAGTTTTAGCTGCCAGTCCCTAAACTGCAAATCCAACGCTTCCGTGGAATGATGCTATGGCAGTTAAAGTGGAATCATCATGGGATAATTGTGTACTGTGAAAGGGTCCCAAGTGAGGGGGGCACCGACAAAAACAAAAGTTACACTTCTCACAAATATTCTCGGCCATCTGAGATATTACATCTGGAGTGAGCATTCTGTGGCCATCCAAAAGTGGCTAGACTGCAACTCCCATTTTCCTTCTTGCTAGTGTATTCAGTATTTGGGAATGAGTAGAGTCCAAAAACATGTGGAGGCCACAGTTTACCCTTTTCAATTCATATTAATCAATTTTATATTCACATTTAAACTCTTGCGTTTATTTTGTAGTGTAGGAATAACTCAAATAGTGCCTTTTTCCGGACCTGATACACGTAGGGAGCTTCCCAATCTACAAATGACATTATTCTATGCTACAAAATATCCATCTTCTCATAGACAGGTGGAGGACTTCCACATGCACAAATATATATCATGGAAGTCGGCCTTGAACCTGAGGCACAGATTCAGGCAACACCTTCCAGCTTGTCAATATCTCTTTTGAACTGTGGTGCCGAGAATAGGACACAGTATTCCAGGTGAGGTCTAACCAAAGCAGAATAGAGAGGCACCATGACTTCCCTCAATCTAGACCAGGGTCCTCAAACTATGGCCCGGGGGGCCAGATACGGCCCTCCAAGGTAATTTACTCGGCCCTCATTCAGGGTCAACCAAAGTCTAAAGCAGTGTTTCTCAACCTTCCTAATGCCGTGACCCCTTAATACAGTCCTTCATGTTGTGGTGACCCCCAACCATAACATTGTTTTTGTTGCTACTTCATAACAGTCCTTTTACTACTGTTATAAATCATAATGTAAATATCTGATATGCAGGATGCATTTTCATTCACTGGACCAAACTGAGCACAAATACCCAGTGCACCCACGTGAAAATGCTGCTGGGGTTGGTTTTGTAATTTGGGAGTTGTAGTTTCTGGGATTTATAGTTTGCTTATAATCAAAGAGCATTCTGAACTCCACCAGCGATGGATTTGAACCTAATTTGCCACACAGAACTCCCATGAAAACGGAAAACACTGGAAGGGTTTGGTGGGGACTGACCTTGAGTTTGGGAGTTGTAGTTCACCTATATCCAGAGAGCACTGTGGACTCACGCAATGGTGGATCTGGACCAAACTTGGCACAAATACTCAATATGCGCAAATGTGAACACTGGTGGAGCCTGGGGAAAATAGACCTTGACTTTTGGGAGTTGTAGTTGCTGGGATTTATAGTTCATTACAATCAAAGAACATTCTGAATTCCACCAACGATAAAATTGGCTCAAACTTCCCACATGGAATCCCCATAACCATCAGAAAATACTGTGTTTTCCTATGGTCTTTGGCGACCCCTCTGACACCCCTTCACGACCCCCTCAGGGGTCCCGACCCCCAGGTTGAGAAACACTGGTCTAAAGCGAATTGAAAGCAAACAACAATCTTATCTCATCAGCCAAAAGCAGGCCCACACTTCCCATTAAAATACTAATAAGTTTTTATTTGTTAAAATTGTTCTTCATTTTAATTGTATTGTTTTAAAGTGTTTTTTGCACTACAGATAAGATATGTGCAGTGTGCATAGGAATTCATTCATGTTTTTTTCAAATTATAATCCAGCCCTCCAACAGTTTGAGGTACTGTGACCTGGCCCTCTATTTAAAAAGTTTGAGGACCCCTGATCTAGACACTATACTCCTCTTTCTCACTTACTATTATACATGTGGATGTCTCAATTCATGTTTTGGAAATACCATAACTGGAAAGGCCAGTAAGGATTCTGGGATTTGGAATCCAAAAAGTACTTTTTCTGAGTTCTGCATGAAAGGGAATGTCTTAAGTTTCTTGAAGCTCATCTCCCTGGAATTCAAAACAGTAAAACCTGGAACCTAATGGGTAGTATTTAGTAGACTGATGGAAGAATTGGATAAAATAGGGATGGAAGGTGAGAGCACCTGCCAGAGGCACAGTATGGCACCTGATGGCGGAGGAAATAGCATGGCTATTCCAGTGCTTTAGGGTTGGAGTGTTTGGGTGAAGAAAATAACACAAACTGTCCAAACAAGGAAAAGTGTGAATTCCCTCATCCAATTCTGCCCCCTCCACTGGCACACCAATGGGATTTTGGCTTGCATCAATAGGAGCATAGTGTCTAGATCTAGGGAAGTAATTGTTGTTCATTCGTTCAGTCGTCTCTGACTCTTCGTGACCTCATGGACCAGCCCACGCCAGAGTCCCTGTTGGCTGTCACCACCCCCAGCTCCTTCAAGGTCAGTCCAGTCACTTCAAGGATGCCATCCATCCA